AACACACACACACACAGACACAGATACTACAGAATATGTATGCATAAGTTGGATATTACATAAAGTCATCACAGTTTTGCACTGCCTGTACAGATTTATTCATGTTTTCTTTTTGTAGAAGTAAGAAATGGTTACTGTTCCTGACTATGCACTGCATTCTGATTTTTTTTTATTTAGTTAATTTTAATAAAGGGATCCATCCAGGGTTTTTCACCTAGATAGGTTTTTTACCTGGGCCTACTACATTAATGAGGCCACAGAAGTTCCACAATTCTTTTAGGGAGAGATGTGTAGGGTCTGTGGGTCTCAAGTTTTTTTCAAGCATGCAATGAAACAACACAGCCTGGGACATTCATTAGGAAAAACTATTTATTATATTTTATTATCAGTTTTTATGATTTTTTTTTATAGGATTTGTGTTTTGCCTAATTCACTAATTTCTTCCTTTTCAGAATATATAAGGTCCAAAAGTTCCTTTGAGTATTAGTATCACTCCTAAGTGAAATTCCTGTGTTCTTCCTTTCCAATTAAAATGTTTACTTATCAAAATGCTATTTAATTCCTTATTGATTTTGTCAAACATCTCAGCATTCAAATTGTCTTGAATTTTAATGTAACAATTAAGAACAAGCAGTGTTATTTTACAAATATAATAATTTATCCAAATTGCTTAAAATTGAAATACAGTCGTAGATGCACACAAACACCAGTTTGTAGTTTCTGTAAAAAAAAAAAGTGTAGGGTTAGTTACCTCTGAAATTATAGTGACAGCAGTGGTGTACTGTCTGTTTGTATGGTTTTTTTGACTTCAGTTTTTTTTGTTTGCCAGATTTACGATCACATGGAGTGGATTGTGTCACATTGGGACAATACATGCAGCCTACAAAAAAGCACCTGAAAGTTGCTGAATATATAACTCCAGAAAAATTCAAACACTGGGAAGATGTTGGAAACGACCTTGGTTTTCTGTATACTGCTAGTGGTCCCCTTGTACGAAGCTCGTATAAAGCAGGAGAATTCTTCATTGCTAGCATCTTGAAAAAGAGAAAAGTTGGCAATGCAGATTGAGAGTTTTTAGGTAACAAAAGTCTGGGAAATAATTTTTTTCTGTTACAGTTTGAACATTTTTGTTTTTAAAACATAATTATTGGGATTAGAATAGTTATTTATGTATTTGGCAAAGAAATGAAATGATGGAGAAGACAGTGATAGAAGCAGAGTCTGGCATTTTGAAATGAGTGTGCCGAAGACACTTTCATACGAGTTGCATGCATTACTTTGTTCCAGAAATTTATGGGAACTTTCAAGAATATAACCTTGAGATCATTCTTAATATGTGGGGCAGAAATCATGTTGATTCGTATCACTGCAGTGTTGTGTTAACTCAAATATTTTTTATGGCCATGACTTTGCACTATACCTACAGCAGTCTAATTTGCCTTAAACACACTGCAAAGTAACATTTTCCAATCAATAAACATTGAACGCAGTAGTTTCTAGGTACAAGTGTTAAAAAAATATTTCCAACACTACTTTCTAGTCAGATGGATATTTAAGATCCATTCTTCTGTTTATATGGGCTAATCTGCATTAATTTTTAGTTTACAATGAAAGTTGTTTCTGTTAAACCATCAAAATGTACAAATAAAAAAAAGCTCATCTAAAAATGAAGTATTTGTGTTGAATTCTTGAATTGTTTTGAAACCTTGAATCCTTTATGTAATCAATTTGTCTTAAGGTTTTTAAATAGGAGCATAGCAAAGAGAGGATTCCTAAGTGAAGATTTTAGGGATCCCCCATAAGAATATTCTACATTTAAAAATGTTTATTGTCGACATGTCTTGATAAGGAAATTAATTAGACTTGTTGGAAAAATTGTAGAATAATTAAATAACTCTGACTTTTGTAAATATTGGTATTTTGAAGCCCTATTCTTGATTGGGGCCCCTGGATCTCTATCCTTCAGACCTATCTGTATTAACATCACTGTTCATAAATAATTTTATGCAACTTTGATCATTATCGTGCTGATAATAGATTTGTTGGTTCTGAGGTAATAAAAATACTTATTTTGATTAAAAACCTTTCAGTGTGAGAAGAAATCCACAAATTGTAAACTGGAAAGCAATTCTCCTTCCTTAAAGGTTTGGTAATAATGAATCAGAAATCAGATAAACCGTGATAGATTAATCTGAGACCATTATACTGGATGACTTAAGTGCATAAAAAAAAAAAAAAAGAAAAAAAGAAAATGGTTTGAAGGGATAGAAGCACAGCTTCGTGTGCTATTTTTATTTCTACGGGCATCTCACTGATGTTTGAAACTCTCAATCACACTTAGATCTGGGTCAAATCATAGCAATGACCTTTAGTGGTAAGGTATGGTCAAATACACCATTAGGGCTGCTGGCAGAATGTTGTTTTGAAAGGTGGAAGGGGAAAAGAAGCATTGGTAATAAAATGTGTTTGTGTTGTGTACAAAACTAATTAAATTAATAATAATTTTTAATCGAAGGGTCACACACTCATATTTCACTTATCATAGAATTTCTTCAAAACACAAACACGATCCAAATGCTGCCCAAACATGTTCATATAAAAAACTGTCAGTGCGTAGCGTTTAGAAGAGAAAGTGCTCACACCAATGAATCCCTGAGAATTTGGCTTAGCCCCTTGTGTTTCAGGTTCACCCTTTGGACAATGGAGCTTGTGGATCACTAGTTGCACAGAATTTCAATATTATTTGCAAAGTACTACATGCAAATTTCTGTTTTTCAAAAGTAGAGCATAAAAAGTGATACAATTTTAATATTATGAGTTTTATAGAGAATATTTGGTGTTTCAATTGTCTGTGCAATTGAGGCTTTGCATAATCTTTGTTTATTAGAGGTGAGTGGCCCTCTTGATGTAGCTTAGGTGCTGATAGTTTTTGTGTATGCGTATGTCATTATAATGTGAAAATTCTCCATTGCTCTGTACCCGATGATAAATCTGGCTATAAGACATCAAAGAGTACGATTTTTCTTTCATCCCCAACAAGACAAGAAAACATTTCTGAAGTGATGCAAACATTTGTACTTCAAGATGTGAATGAAAAATATGTACTTGAGTTTCACTCTTCTAAAAATATATTGTTAACTTTTATGTTCATAATAAATTATGGTTTTTGTGATTGTTAAACCAATATGGATATTCCAAGAAAGAAGTGGAAGTTTATTCTATAATTAGTATCAGAGTTTTTTCCATATTTTCTTATCTCTCTTTTAATGGATGTAGGTCTGAATGTACAGAAAATTGATTGTAAGAACAAAAGCAAGACAATCTTGTAATATAAAAATATAATATTCCAACTTCTTTAATAGAAATGTATCATTGGACATTCCATATCATTCAGAATCCATTGTAATAAATTTAAAATACCCTCAGCATTCAAATTAATAATAATAATAATAATAATAATAATAATAA